GATTATAGTTTTTAAGGAGGTAACTTTACTATCTTTCGTATTGAAAAACTTTATAGAGTCTATTATCATGGATATGATTTACCTTGCTTCTTATGATCCTTATTTTTTAGTGGCTAACTCAAAATTAGTAATATAAAAATGTGACAAATAAATTTTTCATTTTATTATTAGGTTTTCTATTGGTAGTCTCGATGACGTACTTATAAGCGGAAACTAAGTTATGTAATTGATTGCTTCATTAACAATAACACCACAGAGTGTAACAGAAAATTTATGCCCTTTTTGGGATTCACATCTGATCTGTGATCCAAGGGCACTCATATAATTATGGGAAAATTCAACTACCAGCCCATTATCCTAAATGAAATTGAGTGAATGCGTACCATTTGCATCGCCATCACATTCTCTAGCACTTAAAACGCAAAACTCTGCTACATATATTATCGTTACTGCTTATTTCTATCAGAAACATTATCTTTATTTACTATAATATCCAACTAATGTTTAAAGGTATACTGGGGATACTTCCTCGGCTCTCCTTAGCCTAAACAGAGCACGTATCGAACCTTCTCTAGCTGAGACGGCCATATATCTGATGGTTGAAATCTGCCTTAACCCAGACAAAAGAACTCTTGGCAGCCAGGCATACTTTGAGGAGCCTTCGGATGTAATGGTTGGCGGCAGTAGCGGGACCGTCATTGTTGGTAGCCGTTCGACAGAGAGCAATGAGGCCAAAATAAGGGAATCTCCTTCCGTTAGGGGAATAGAAGGCCTGGAGACAGCACGTAATCTCTTAAAAGTAAATGATTTTTGCTGCGCATCTAGATGTTTTAACTAAAGTTTTTCAAGTTGATTCTCTTAAGAAAACTGCAAATATTTCTTCTTTTTCATAAAATTTACCATTAAATTCTGTAAAAACTTTACGCACATTCGAATATTTAAAATTCTTTATCATTCTTGTATTTTTCTACCCATTCCTCTAGGTAGCACACACTAAATTAATTGGCTAATTCAATTAAATTTTAATACCTTATCGCCATATTAATTGTAGGCTTAAAATATTTTGACATATAAGGAACTGGCTCGGGCACCAATTGACTAATTCTTTTTTATACCCTTATTCGTTTTAATCTTTTCATTCATTTAGGAGATTCGACTTGTTAAGCAACCAACGAGGTACGCTTTCTTTACTAACCTCCTCCTTTTGGCCACACAGATCAAATCAAATATCGAAGCTGCTCTTCTTGCGTTTGCTGGCCTAGTCCGAGATCAGGTTGGTTTTATACAATGCAAATTGAACTGTAAGAAGTTTTCCTGAATTATATTAGGTTAACGAACAGGAAGCGAATTTACCCCACAGGCTGGTTATTACGCTAAAGACAATTTTAGCGTCTTCTAAAAAAATTTATGAATAATAATTTATGGCTCTATCACATGTTGGAACGCTTGTCAGTCTGTAAATATATATCATTTTAAGTATGAGATTGCTTAATCTCAATATATTTCCCTATTAACCAAAATAATTCATTTCCACGTCAGATTATAAATATACATTATTAAGAAATACAATAGCATTGTAAATACCAATGTAAAAAATATTTACATATCAGAATTTGTGGCAGCAGTACTGGAAAAAGTTCCTGGCGCTATAAATACTATTTATTTTAATACGATTTTGTGGCGGGGACAATAGTTACCTATATTATATCATGAAAATGTACTTGCTTAAAACTAAAATTTTATTCTTTATAAATTAAGTAAGAGTTTCTTCAAATTATACTATCAAAAATCATACTGCTTATTCTTTCAAACTTCTTGTAAATAAAAATCCATAAGACCAAATATAAATCTATATGTAAGCAGTGAAAGTTCTGATAGTTGCATTTATTATATATATTTATGTGCCGTTTAGATCAATCCCTTACTTTTAACTACCCTTATAGTCAAAAGTATATTGGGCATTAATAACTACCATTCTTCACTATCACCTTGAAAAATAAGATATTTCATAGTTTGCGATATCTTGAAGACAATAAAAATTCCATTGGTATTTATCAAAATACACTTTTAACCCATAAATTCCACTTTAGCTGCACTTTAAACTTATCCAATATTTTTTACCATGCCACTGACAGCGAGACAGCATTGCTTGTCTGTTTGGCGGTGCACTCTGCTACCAAGCCCTAAAACAGTCGATTAAGTCCAGAAACCAATTGAAGCGACTCGCCAAGGTCCCATGGACTGTTGATGTAAGTATCACTTTTAGAATTTACCGAAATTTTAACCCAATTTGAAATCTAAACAAGATATAATCTTCATAGTTGGAAGAGTTATAATACATTCCTAAAGCCTTGAGTTTTTTTTAGCATATTTTCCTGTTTATTTTCTCTTAACTATATCTTGATTTATATTTTCATATCGCTCTAGAAAATTGTAATCAAATCGTTGGTCTTGATCTTATTCAGCTCCATAACTTACTTAAAGGGATATTGACTCCTTAATCGTAATTTACCTCTTATAGTATTGTTACACCTTAACCTCGAAATTCGAACCGTGCATTCTGCAGACCTTTAAAGGTGAAACGCCCATTTGTCCTTTAATCAGTTTACGCCACGAATGTGCGAAAATATGTTTTATATTTTTTACTTATTCGTTCCAAAACTCTGGCATACAAGAAAGTGATCTTACCTGGTTTTCGCAACTAAGTCGTGTTGCCAGGAGGACCAAGTTGGGCGCATTTAGTCCAAAGGTTTTACTATAGTGGTTATGATAATTCCCAGCGTCTTACCTTGTATTTTGTAAATTCCTAGTCTAATACTTTACAACAAATTTAAACTCTTTAAAGAGGCGATTGTGTCATCACACCTTCTGTGATAGCAGATCTATCTACTCTATCCTTATCTCATCTTTATCTTCCATGCCACAAAAGTGCGAAGTAGTCATTTGGCTATTGCATCGGCACTCTTGGTTGCAATGGTGGCGTCTTAAAATCTTCTTATGATTTGTTCATGTGTGAATTTGCCAAGAAGTGAGAGCATTGATTCTATAGGAAGTCCAAATAATTGTTCATAAGCGTCGGCATTGAATTTGAAGTGAACAGTCCCTATTTTCATGTAAATAAATCATGTTGACGTCTCTCTACTGATCTTCTCCTTCCTGGATATCCTCTTCTCGGTCTAAAATCTCCAACAGTGCCGTTAGTGCATTTTATCGAGCGATGTTTGCATCCATAGATTATACATCAAAACTTACTAATAATAATATTTCTTCTAGTATCATATTTTTTATTCTTTGACAAAATTCATACTGCGTTCACTGTGCTTATAATCTATAATTCAACTTCTTAAGTTTTAAATATATAAACTTGCCAGTTTTTTTGTTGCGTCATACTTGTTGTCAACTATCAGTCGTACTCGTTTATTCCCTTTGTGTAGCCTCGGCAATCCATAGGCTATTAATAGTCATGTATCCTTTCTTATTGATTAATTCATCGTTCATCTGCTAATATATCCGCTCTTAAGCATAACTCTAAGTATGTCACGTAGTATCCCCTTGGTCTTCATAGTTGGATTCTTTTTGGTACATGATACGTGTTCATATCTCGTAGTATACTTTCAATCTTCTAGGTCTATTGTTTTCTGTCCAATATCCCTGTTGCTCTTCTTTTATCTGCTTAAAGGATTAATTGTTTATTCCTTTGTAGGGTCATGCGTATCCATACTAATATGATCCTCCTTATTGATTCTTGATGTGCCAAAATTATTGAAATTACTTTTATCTTCATTTTCCGCTTTGACTCGTCGCAGGTATTAATTAATTCCATAACAGTGTCTTCTAAAATGTTTCTTTAGTTTAGATTAGAAAAGTTTGGCCCTTT